CACACACACACACACACAATCCTTCACAGCTATAAAACAACTCTGTGGAACATAAACGCACAGAGACACAAAAACGTAAGCGAATGCACACGTGGAAATAAATCACCTGCATTAGGAGGAAAAGGTGATTTTGATTATCTGTAAAAAATCCGTTTCTAACACGAGGACGCACCTCGCCTCAGGTCTGGAGCTACTCTCACAGCTCGATGAAGATCATCTCCTGACATGACCCCCGAGCTTCTGTACGTGAGAACGTTCAACAGCCCCGAGAAAGAACTCTGGAGAACATCTGGAGGAGTCAGAAGGAGTTTCTAACACGTGACGGACGTGAAACTGGATCAACACAAATATCTCGTTATTAGATGATATACAAACAGGCGGAGACGTCAAAGACTGATTCGAGATTGGTTGAGAGCATGTAGGGGCGGGACCTTGATATAATGAGTCCGTCCCTGAGTCCGTTACTGTAAAAGACAATGAAAAGATGAAAACGTTGGTACAATTTCTGGACAGTAGGAGGAAGTGAGGACACGCCACGATGTTAACGTGCGCTAGCGCGTCGTAAGATCTACGCAGACGAACACGGTGGGATTCGTCCCGAGCCTCCAGATGGTCTCTTTGTCTCCTCACATGCACCGACACACAGCTGGTGTCTGATCGCTGCTGTTAGTCATGTTTCTGGCCTCGTTCTGCAGCAGCTGGCCGAGTCGCAGGAATCCCTGCTCTCCCCCCCCCCCATACACACACACACACACACACACACTCTTTAACATGTGGTAACTCTGTGCTAAGTCAGCACACTGGTGGGACTGGTCCAGGGTGATGATGGGACGTCGAGCTGCAAATATGATTCTTTGCATAAAATCTGTTGACATCAGCGAGTTCGTATCAGGGAGTCGTCTCCCATCGTCCACTCTGTTTTAGACGGGCGACAGGACAGCTCCCAAAAGTGAAGCCAAGTCATCTGGATGGCCCCCTGGTGGCTGACTGCAGTATAGGTCATAAACCCCTCCTCCTCCATGTTAGCAGATGGGACGTTTAATAAATAAATGTTTGTCAAAGGCCGTTCGTGTCTCACTGATGTCTCACGGTGTCTCTGATCAGTTTGGCTTCATTGGTAACTTGATGATGTAGAAACAGGAGACGCAGCAAAGCCAAATGTAAAAATCACAGACTGTGAAAATCATTTACAGCATCTTGAATTATTTCAGATCTTTTTCTCCTCCTGTCCTTTCATCACCTTTTCTTTCCTTCTCTTCCTGTGACAATCATTTTCTTTGTTTAGTTTTTCCTTCCTCCTCCTCCTCCCTCTCCCTCTTGCTCTTTTCAGTTTCATGTTTTCGTTTGATTTCTTTTCCCTTCGAGCGTTTTCTCTTCTCCTCTCTTGTCATTTTGTTTGCTCGTCATGTTTCGTGCGGTGGCGGCGGCGGAGGAGGAGGAGTTTTCTTCATGTTTCATTCGTCGCCTGTCGCTGCTCCAGCCGCTGATCTGAGTCCAGCCAGTGACAAATGTCTGTCTGCGGTGAAGGACTCTGCTGAATCAGGAGGAACCAGGCGACGTGTTGGGACAGTGGCTATGGACGCATCAATCTTCTAAATGAATCAAAGCTAATACAACATCTGTCTCTTGGCACACACTCTCGTCCACAGCACCTCTGACAGGAAACACTGTGTCACCGTGGATGGAAATTGAACCTGTGGATGTTGTAGACGATGCGACAGAATTACATGTGATACAGAATAAAATGAGGGTCAGCTTCACTGATATCGATCCTGACACGTCGCGTCTATTGCTCCAGTGTGACTGATGATTTCACCGGTTTTGTTCTGCTCGTTTCAGTTTGTGTCAAACGCTGCAGCTCACGCTCACGGGTTTTTCTGGATCCTTGTCTGAGGAGGTAAAACGGTTTCAGTTGTGACTAAATATTTGTAAAGATTCTGTTGACTGCAAAAACAATATCGATCATAAAATGAATTAAAAACAGAATTGTACGATTCTTTCAGGGGCGGACTGGAAATATGATATTTCAAGGGCTTTTACTTTGAAATTCTACATCAGATTGTCCTGGTTTTGTCTGAGTGAGACTCCGAGGTGGTGAACTGTCGTCGTGAAGTGAAATTGTTCCGTGGAAACAAGTATTTTATCTGAGTTTAGAGGGAAAAACTTTGAAAATATTTCAAAACATTACTTTGAAATTCTTTTCCTCGTTCCTTCTGCTTTATCATTGTTGGTCAGGTTATGAGTTCAAGGCCTAAAAGATCGTCGGGTTAGTGGGAAACGTCCCGCTGCTCCAGATGTGCGGTCTACCACTGCATTCTTTACTGCAGCAGAAGAACAGAAGAAGAACCTCTGCACTCAAGGTAAAACCCTGTTGATCTGCATCGATAGATACACGAGGAGGAATCGTCTTCTCTGTGTAACTGGTTGAGTCTCGATGTTGAGACGGAGCTCGATGATGCAGAATAATAAGAGCAGAGAATTCTCCTCAGTCTGATCAAATGACGTGAGGAGTAGAAAGTCCAGATATTTGTGTTGTATTGAATAAATACAAAAAACTTCTACAGTAAAAGCCCAGTAACATTTGTGCTCTGTTCCCAGGTTTGTTCGGTGTCACTGACCTTCGACCCTCCCGGTGACGGCGTCTAAAATCTGTCGTCACGTCTGTGAACACGAGCAGCGCAGCCTTGACGCCAGGCAGTGACCGTTTGTCAAAGCTGAATATGTTTGTCGGGGAGAATTTCACGGCTGCTTTGACTCGAGTGAACGAGGTCGAAGGGAAACGTGAGAACTTTTAAAAGCAGGAGAACGTAAAGGTTCACGTGCAGGATGTTGTGTTACCGTGTGTCCGACCCTCACTGATTCAGGGGCTTGTTTGTTGTTCTCGCTCTTTGCAGAGGGTTTTCCAGCTGCCTGGCCTGATTCTGTCTGAGCAGACACACTACCTTTACCTCACACTACCTCTGAACTTTGAAAAGAAAGAAATGAAGGGTTGTACTTTGGTACATTTACGAGATGATTCCTTCTCCTTTGGCTGAACTCTCCTTGACACGGTGTCATCGTGTCACGACATGAACTTCGTCCTTCGCCCTGCGTCTTCGTCTCTGCTCCGTGAACGCGCTCGCTGCGCTGAACCGCGTCCGAGACAAATCTCTGAGCTCCGGGAGGAAAGCGGCTGAGTCAGGAAGGAAACAAGGTGTTTGCTTTTCTCCCGGGTTCGTCAGAGCAGGATCATAAATCTCATTATGAAAGTACTGGGGCAGGAGGGCGGGCGATGGGCTTGTGGTTAGTGAACGAATCATGTGCAACGTCTTCAAAAACACCCCCCCCCCCAGGCTGAAAACTCACCGTGATAAAAGATTCACAAAACAAAATGATTGTGATCATGTTTGTTGAGTTGAACTTGATGTGAAGAGAAAAACAAACTAATACTGATCAAGATGAACGGACTCATGGGACATGAAATCAAAACCAAACCCTAAATGTTATTGAGCACGGTGACTACATTACCCAGAAAGCAACTCATCATTGGCTCTGTATTTCATCATTTAAAAAGATTATATTAAGTGTTCATGTGTTGTTGTTCTGTCCTTGGATCCCAATCATTTTATTAAATTCATTTTATTAAACTTCAAACGTTCAAAGAGAAACTAACGAATTTAAAGCCTCCATTAATCTGCTGTGTCTTTATATGAGCAGAACATATGACGAAGATGATGATGATGATGAAGAATAAACAAACATTTCCATCTCAAATTGATTTAGTGATTTAATCCATTTCTGGAAAAACTGAAGTGGCTCTGACACTTTAATCACTGACGTTCATCAGCAGGACCGATCTCATTGGCTGATGAAACACGACATCGTCTGCATAGAGGCGGAAATAAGTTCTTCAGCCATCACGTGACGTCAGAGCGTACCTCAGCTCTCTAGAAACGGGGAACTCATTGGCTGTCGTTAGCCCAATAACACTGCAGTGTCCCCCCCGACATTTCCCTGTCGGCAGCGTGAACCTGCTCGCTGCGCTGAACCGTGTCTGAGACAAATCTCCGTGCCCCGGGAGGAAAGCGGCTGAGTCAGGAAGGAAACAAGGTGTTTGCTTTTCACCTGAGTTAGTCGGAGCGAGATCATAAATCTCGTTATGAAAGTTCTGGGGCAGGGGGGTGGTGGGACGGACTCGTGGTCAGAGGAAAGCTTCTCAAACTGAAGGGTAACAGCTTCACAGCAGATAAAAGACGAAGGTTGGAGCACCAACGTTTATCACAGAGTGAATACGTGAGTGTGATACGACCTCTGTGTATTCCTGATCTCAGTACCAAGTCTGAAACACTGGCCTCAGGTCAGATCACACCTGACGAAACTCTGCGTGTTTCTTTACGGACGAAAACTATTAATAACATTCTACAATGCATTTTAAGAGAAATCTAAATCTTGTCATCGAGCAAAGCAAGTTTAAAATGTGAGTTATTTTATCTCCGTAGATTTTGGTTGAACAACAACCTTCATTTTTAAGATAATTTATAAATTGTCAGACGCCAGAAAATGTCGATTAAAAGTCAAACAAAAATCAAGTTGAGTTTAAGATTATAAACAAAGAGTAACGCTGTGAATCCTTATATGAGTTGAACACAGTTCCCCGTGTGTCCACCAGGGTCGAAACATACAGGATGTGCGTTTAGCTGAATTAGCTGACGTGTGAAAACCCAACGGACACAACAAGCTGGTCCAGTCCAGCAGGTGGCAGCATAACATAAAACTTCGGCAAATAAAAAGACAGAGTGTGAAATGTAAACGAAGTAAAATGTGTCGTAACACTGTGTGTGTGTGTGTGTGTGTGTGTGTGTGCACGTACGATCTGGGAAGCAGTTGTCGGGGTCCATGGCTTCTTCCGCCATCTCGGAGTACTCATCCTCTTCCTCTCCCGGCTTCCTGAGGTCCACCGTGCTGCCCTCTGATAGGCTGACATCGTCTTTCTGCTGGTTGACACGGCAGGAAACAACCAATCAGAATCAAGGAGTGATCGTCAGCTCATTATTTCAAACTTGTGTGCAGATGATATTTTTCTGTTTGTAAAGAAGATTCATCCGGTTCCAGTTCGTCTGTGGATAAACACACAACGTTGTGTTATCTCACAACAGCATCGTTGAGACGTTGTGCGGTTTTACAGCTCGTGCCTGCGTTAGCGTCGGTATTTGTGAGGTCGTGGGTTTTGTTTGTGTAAAGTTGTGTTTGAGTGACGATGATGATGATGATCAGCATCATTCTGCTGCAGTCGAGGCTGAATGAGTCAGATTCAATGTTACGTAACTGACAGGAGTCCTGGCTGCGAGAACAGAGACAGACATCACCTTCCAAACCCTCCGTCTGCTCACTGCGACAGATCAGGACAGAACTAGACGTCAGGAAACCCCCCCCCCCCATCCCAGCTGACTTCAAAGGTCCCCGTTTGCAAAGCATCATGGGAGTTTAACTTTACAAAGGGACGAGGGAGATGGAGGGACACAGGACAGGTTTTCTTCTAAAGGCTGAGGAAGGAAATCTGGCAAGTTTTGTCTCGACAAAGACACAGCGGGCGGCGTGTGTGTGTGT